ATAAAAATTAAAAAATATAGTTTGTTACAGTTGGTCAATATAATTATAAAGTCCTAAAGTATTTAGCACACTGACATATGAATTTCACAATGCTTTACACAAATAAAATAACATTTATCTTTAATATTATCTAGGTATCTAAACTATATTTATCATAATTGTACTAACTCTACTTTAAATCAATATTTGTTGTAAATCAATAAAAATAAACAGAAAGGTAAATAATAAACACATTCTAATTAAACGTGTAATTTATTATAAAAAGTATAGTCAAGGAATTAATTTATAACATCAATAAAAACTTTGCTGAACATATATTTTAATAGTATTTAGTTATTTGGCATAAAATGTTGTTTTAAATTAAGTTTTAGTGATGGAAAATATATTCACTTTAATCTTAAGGCGATTTACAGTAAGATACTAATAATTCTTGTATTCATTTAATGCAAACATGTTTTGCCATACATTCAGTGAATATACTGTATAGAAATGTTCGTCAAAAGAAATTTTCCATTTATTTATTCCCTAATGAATGCTATAATAAACTTACTTATCTAAAAGAATTTACTTATTTTATTCAGGTTACCTATTTATAAATTATAGTTTGCATTAAATTAACTGTATAACTATTTAACTATTTAAAAAACGGTAAGTTATTTACAGTGAGCTAGGTAGTAAGAAATTGACAAAATTACACATTTTATTAGCAACATTTAAAAAAATTATATTTTACTACATTATATTTTAGTGTGTATTGTATACTTGGTACAACTATATTATATTTTGTTGGATCGTATTCGTATTGTCATCTAACAGAATATTCTGCACAGATTTGAAAGAAACAAAGTTTTCGCTTAACTTTAATCATTAAAAAAAACAAATTCATTTACACTATAGACTAGAATTGAGTGTATATTGAGTGCCGACTGTGGAAAAGGATTTCTCGGTAAACATAATACTCGTGAGTGTGTCGTCCCTCTCATCATTTCTAAGGGCTTTGGACTCAAAGAAAGATTTGCATGAAATCCATGAGTAAAGCAAAACTTACTGTTGTTTTATGGACTAAAAGTTTTTGGTTTTAATTATTAATACAAAAGTGAGAGAAAACGTATTCACAGACAACTCAACGACTAATTAAAATAGTATTAAAGCTTGAAATCGTAGAGAGAGAGAGAGAGAGAGAGAGAGAAAGAGAGAGAGAGAGAGAATATTTGTATAATTATTCCTTTAATTTTACATTAGAAAATGTCATAATTAATTAAATGTAACTTACTTTATTTAAAATATTTATAAATAAAAAAGTGTATTAACAATAAAAATGTTAGCCTTAAAATGGTTTGAATTGATATAAAATATAATTGCTTCAGATTTGTTCATTATTATTACTTTAATAAAACTTTTTAAAACAAAAACCCGTTTTTCTGCCGCCTCCAATTTAATAAAATCAATAAATTGTGATTAAATATAAATTAAAAATAATGTTTACATTACAGTTCAAATTATTTATCAAATCAATTTATAAGTTATTAATAAAATATACTTATATAACTCATTCATAAATTGCTAGTCATATTATTTTTAATTTATACAGAATTGGTGTAATTAAATATAATAAGTTATAAGTTACAATATTAACAACACAAATACGGTATCAAATGTGTTAAATTAAAATAATTTTATATAATATTTTTGCTCAAAAACATGATCTCAAACGCATTTAAAAAGTTGACTTAAGCTGCCATTCCTGTTGGCTATTAAATTGAATAAAAATGACTGACCATTGAGTTCAATGGAAAAAAGTTAAGAGTAATTCAATTTTTTTTAAATATATTTTTTTTATATATTTGACTTTGTTATCAAAGTTTGTATTCAAATATTATTTTCAATTTACCGGTGAATGTGTGTTGAGAGGCACTGAATGAATGAATACTTTTTATAATGTTATTCAATACGTGTATTGAGTGGAGAAAAGTGCATAAAATAGTAAATAATTGAAATATTTGTGAAAACCTATGCATGTATTCAGACATTCATTGGATGTATGTGTGGACAACAAAATGTATTAAATATATTATATCAACTATTAATGGTTTAAATATTTACAATAGATATTTATTTTGAAACTTAAAAGTTAGAAAAGTTACTAAAATCAGTTTAAAACTCATGTTAACATTTATCATGAATGCGATTAAACCAATTAATTAAGGAATCGTTAAAATCAATAGCTCTTAGAACACATTAAAACAAATACAGAATATTCTTAGAGCCCATACATGCCGGGGGTTCCGCCACTATAGCTATAACTATCTCAACATCAGTATCATTAGTGGCCGTCACATCCCTGTGCGCACCACAGAGTCGGTGCTCTCAATGGGCAATAGGAAGAGGCAATAAACGCGAGCACACAATGCGTCTACCGGTGCTCTCCCAACACACATACCATTCCCCTCTCGCACGCAGTGAATGGAACATTGCGTTCGCTATAACAGCCCATCACTCGGTTTATATTGGGAGCACTGGTAGTATTGTGTCGACTGTATGTGTGTGTGTTGTGTGTATCTCATTGTGTCTGTCAAAGGCATGATTGCTATCAGATGTATGGGCTATTAAAGCACTGGTAGGTTATTGTGCGGATCTAAACCATTTGTTTTTATTGTGTCGACTGTATGTGTGTGTGTTGTGTGTATCTCATTGTGTCTGTCAAAGGCATGATTGCTATCAGATGTATGGGCTATTAAAGCACTGGTAGGTTATTGTGCGGATCTAAACCATTTGTTTGGCTAAGAATAAGACTAATAATAAAAATCTTGCGATTTTTGTGTGTATTTCTGTTGAGCGATACAAAAAACTCCAAAAAAAAGTTATTATCATTTTTTCTATGAGTGTTTTTTCGGGGAATTATTATTATTATAAAAACTGTAACCATGCATAAAACAAATCATTTTTATAATAGTTTTAATTAAATTTTATTATTGGAGACTTAATCTGTCACTCTATTATTATTATATAATTGGATTAACAAGGCACAAAATAATATTTGTTTTAATATTCATGTTGTAATAAATAATAATAATCTGCTAATCGGATAATCATCTCAATTCACAACTCATTAATACAATTATATAATAAATTTATATCTCATATACAGATATCGACACAAAAAATGCGTGAATAATGTATTCATAATATAAATAATAAAATACTAATAAAACGGTTACTTATTTGATGAATGAATGCCAATATCTCGGTGTCATTCATGCGATTATAAAATCCAGAGTTATATCACTAATAATACTATAGACGTGAAAATATATGACACAAAAAATATAATGACTTTCCCATCAAAACTACTTATAATAAAACGCTTGAATGCAAAGTGAATATTCAAATAGCAATTTACAATAAATATGTTTTTCTCAATACATTTATACATTAAATAAAACAATTGTTTAATAGAAAACTCAATTTTATACTTACAATATGAATGCTAATGAATTTATATTGGTCATTATTTTGACAATAAAAAATTATGTCTAATAAATAATATTCACAAAACCTATTATTGGTTAAAGTTTCAATGATATTTTATTGTGTGAGTGAACATGGTAAACAAAATCCTAGGAATATATCACATATTAATCATATTTGAATTATATATTACTGGTAAGTTACATAATTGTACCATATTGTGGATAATTTATTAACTTAAAATATAAAATTTAAAAATAATATTTTGCAAATGTGTTCAAGTCAAAATATAAACATTTTGTTTGTCTCTACCATCAAGATCAATCATAGATAAAATGATAATCAAATTATATAGCAACTCATCCCTTTCCCCTATTTATACCATACATTCCCATTTTATTTATTAATGCATTATATTAAGTAATAATTAAATTATACCCGAGTTTTGTGATCCAAATATTTGTCAAAATTAATAATTTATTAAATCTATTATCATATTAGAAGTCATTTTAATATAACTTATGAAATACAATGTATTAATAATTACTATACAATTCTTATTGTATTTTAAATTAAAAACAAATACAGAATATTCTTTATATCCAATTATTTCTCATTGTATTCGCATAAGTAGTTTAACTCAAAACCACTTATTCTGACCACAAATTGTCTCAAATATATAGCACTTAATGTTTGCTATTGTATTTACGGTACACATTATATTTATATTTGTTTAGTAAATGTTTTTATTTCGTTTCGCGTTTTAAATGAGAGACAAGTATTGTATGGAAAACACGAGACAAATGTAAACACATTCCTCTCAACACTCGTCTATCCTATGCTATAGTCGACAGTAAATGCCTTCAAGTTTTGTCTCAATATTTGTTTGCCTTCTCTTCACAACTCATTCACAAAACTCTTAATTCAAACACTTTTTGCCAAAAGGTTTTGCAAACGCTTTTCGATTCGTATGTTTGAGTCGATGACAGAAAATAACATTTATTTTATTCCCCTTTTGTTATAACAAAAACCATTTGTCATATAAATGCCGATTAATATCTTATAATCCAAATCATAATACAGTATCACTAATAATTTTATAATAGGTATTCATCTATAATTATGATTAAAACTTTTAATTCAAAAGTTTATTTTGAAATGATAAATTATATCGGTATCGAAGGTCCCAATGTTTGAATTAATTTTAAATTTCAATTATTCAAGCTAATATAAAATAATTATATTACAGTCTAATAAGGGAATTAAATAAAATAGAATCAAGATTTATATGAAATATTTTAAAAGTAAAATTACAATCTAAATAGTAATTTAACATTTACAGCAATATATTTATTTTTTATAAATAATTATGATATAATATTTAAGGCACAATGGACAGACAAATATGGATAAATTAAAATAATATATTATAAACAATACATTTATTATTACCGTATAAGTAATTATCGTAAAGTAATTTCTAAAATAAATACTTTTTAAATGTAATAAATATGATTATATTAATCAAATAAATGCTCATTTTTCTCACCACAGGGTTATCATCAGTGGAGCGAAGGGGCCCTCAGTTGATGGTTGAGCCCCAGAATAGGGTTGAGTTCCTGAACGACACCCGAACTGTCATTACGTGCAGTGCCAGAGGTTTGCGAAGGATTTCTATTGTATTCATATTGTATTCACTAAAATATTATTGAAAAAACATTTTCAATGTCTGCAGTTGTCGATAGCCTATAAGCGTCTCACTCTCCCCTCCCTCCCAACCCCCTCCGGAAAACTTTTATATCGTTTATATATTTTTTTGTATTTCTGTGCAAAAGATTTCAAAAAATCAATGATAAACTACTTGAAAAGAATTTCTATTTATTTCTGGATATTTTTGGAGACATTTTTATGCAATTCTTATGCAATACTTGTTTTTATGGTAAAGAATTTTGCGAATAAAAACAATTCTTGCATTTATATAACATATATATTCAGACCATTTATTTTTATGCCTTTTGTGTCCTATGTTTGACTTGAATTCCGGGCTATTATTAAAAGTTTTTGATATAATTTTCAGTAAAGAATTGTTAATATATTCCCTCTATTTTCAAACATATGTCTCATTCAAGTGTCGGTGCTCTCGAGTATAGTCAGAAAAGTTTTGAGATAAAAGTTGTAAATTATATTATATAATAATAAATAAGAGTTTAGTTTTTCGATGGATATGTAAACATAACAATAACTTATGAAATATTAATATATTCTCTGAAACTCATTATATATTAAACCATAATATATTATATTTGTTTGTTTTGTGAATGAATTTATTTATTCATTCAATTACTGCACAAAATAATGCCATAAATTGTGTATTCATTGAATATATACACAGAATATTCACCACAAAAACACTTGAGACTCAGATAAACCATACTTTAGAGGTTAAGTCATAGCGAAAACAAAACCCATTTATTTATTTATTATATAATATTATATATTATTTCCAAATATTGTAATCATTTGTTTGTCTTTTTCATCGCTCAGTTCTTTGACTCTTATTTTATTTTGTATACAATTCTTATAAGTAATTGATTTTTCTATTATAAGAATAAAAAATATATAGAAAATTACATACATTTTGAAGAATATTCTCCACAAAACACTGATAAAAATAGATTCAAATTATATTATAATGAAAAGAGTGTACAGAAGAGAGAATCGAAACAAATTTGTTTAGCTTTTCATATATACATAACACAAGAATATTCTGTTGTATAATATTGTTGTAGAATAAGAATATTCTTGAAGTGAATGAACACTACAACGACTCTCTCTCTCTCTCTCTCTCTCTCAATATTCACAAAGAAATAGCAAAACATATATAAAATAGTGAATGAAATGGATTTATAGCCAAAGAAATAGAGGACAAGTCTATTATAATAATAAAATCAATTCTTATTTATTCTTATTTCTCGGTGTGTAGAGGACTAGCAGTTTATGTACGAGTGTTACAGGGGATAGAGGGGACTGGTTTGCAATCGTAGGGAATGGATGAGACTGTAAGAATAAAATAGCATTTTATTTATTTGTTTCTCTCTTTCGTCTATAGTTTTTGGATATAGTGTTGACTCCAATATACAAATCAATTTCAATAAAGTCTTGTCTTTTATATGACTTTTCTCTGAATCTCTTTATTCTCTTTATCTCTATATTTGGTTATAAAATGAGTTTTTATATCCAAACAAAACATTTAGTGATTAACTTTTTTTGTCAAAATATACTTTGTTTTGTTTATATTATACAATATATTCAATTTAGCTTGCAACAATAGTTTTTTTTCGGTTTAATGAGTTATTTTTCATACTAGTGTGCATGAACATAGAAGCTATTTATAAAATAAAATTACTTTTGTAATACTAATATTCTATTATTTCTACCACAAATTATATTTAAATAAAAAAAATTATTGACTTTATATTTTTAAAAAAAATTATCTTAAATTACTTTTAAAACAACTGTAAATTAAAATCTGGAAATAAAATAAAATAAATTATCAAATAAATAATTAAATAAATGGTATACGTTAGGAATGGTGACTTATTAACTTTTAAAGTGATTTAAGCTGTAAATTATATTCAATATTTTTTATAAGTTTATATTATATCGTATTTTATAGCAATTGGATTCAAGCAGAAAATATTTTTGTAAAATAATAGGCAGTCCGGAGCCGACCATACAGTGGCTTAAGAGCGATGGGACGCCATTGACGGACAGGGAGGGTGTCGTACAAGTGGTGAACTCCGGGCACACCTCGCAAGTGGTGTATCAGCCGTTCGCCGCCAATCACTACCGACAGGACATCCACTGGGCGTCCATCAGATGTTTGGCCACTAATACTATCGGTGCCGTTGAGAGCCGTGAGTGTCATATCAGAGCCAGTGAGTCATCATTTGCATTATATTATGAGCAAGCACACTTTGTGTCAAACAATACATTGGTTATTGAATAATTGTTATAATTTAATCGCGCGATTTAAAATAAATATGATAAAACTATCGTTAAGTTAATTTTGAAAAAAATATTAGAGTTACCAAGTTAATAAGTTTGTATGATTAAAAAATACCAAGTATAATTTAAAAGCTCCATGACATAATGGTTAATTTCTAATTCATTTAAACTGTAATTGAATAATAATATACTAACTTAAAGTATATTTAACTAACTTGTAGTGAGTAATTGGATTATGAAAAAACCTTTAATAACTTTTTAAAACACAATATTTATAAAATTTATAATTATAATATTGAACTTTCTGTAGAGGATCAATTGTAAATTAACCCCGGTATTCAAACACATAAATAATCAGATACTGGCATAGACTAAATTTACAATACTATTTGTGTTCATAAATAAAAATCATTTATCTTTTCCCTAATAAAAGTGAAATAATACCAAAAATTAGATCCGAAAACTTCTCGAAATAAGAGATATAATATAAAAACTCAATTCAATTCCCGTGTTATATATTATTTATAAATATTTATTGAGATTTGCAGACAGAAAGAGAAATTAATTATAGATATCTTTTTCATATAATTTAATACAAAAGAGAATATTCTTTGGAAATATAATTGAATTCTTAATGTTTTTATTATTTTCATAGAAATATAAAAAATTCTTTAAAAATATTTTAATGTCTGGAAATTTATATGGTTTTGTTGCTATAAATAAAACAATATCTATTGTATAGAGAGAAAAACATTAGTGATATTATTATGGTATAAGAAAATTTGCAATATTTTTGTGTCATATCAAATGCTTTAAGATTTAATTCCCAAAAGTATCGCATTTTTTACACACAATCTATTGTGTCATAAAAAACAAGAGATGAAGAGATATGAATATATTCTGCGGTTAAGAATATTCTGTGTATAAGAATCGCATTCACTATAAGATTGTGATATCATTTCCCAAAACGAATGCTTCAAATGTTTGTATAAAATATTTATATTTTATTTCTCTATTATGTGTACAAAATCCCACTTATAAGACATCACCGCATATCACATACCAGTGCTCTAGATTGTGATATCATTTCCCAAAACGAATGCTTCAAATGTTTGTATAAAATATTTATATTTTATTTCTCTATTATGTGTACAAAATCCCACTTATAAGACATCACCGCATATCACATATCAGTGCTCCGGCACTACTGTATAGCATATCATGTGTTTCGTGGCCTTTAAAGTATAGGTGCGCTCCAGAGAGACATACACTCCGAGTGCGAGTCTATTGTATTGTAGAGTAAATCCAATGTCTAATAGAAATACAATACACACTATAATAGGGAATAAAAGTCTCTTATATTCTGTTATCTCTAATATGTTTTGACTCACGAATCGAAATATAATTTTGTTTTACTTTTTTGAAGTGATTTTCTCTATCAGTAGACGAGAGAGAGAGAGAGAGACTGAAAATGTTTTTAGTATCCAATTATGAGATGACTGTAAGCTTCTCAACGATAGTTAGACTTGTTTTCAGTTTTGTTTGTGTTTTCTTCGACACAATATTGAAGTCTATATTATATTTCTTGCAATAAGTTTATCGCAAAAATGTTTTTTGTTATTTATTTATTATTATATAATAATAAACTCTAATCACTATATAAAGCAAAACTTTTTAAGTGTATTTTAGTCTTGTTTTTGTGTTCAATAATAAAACACTAATTGAAGTGCAGTTCACAACACAATACAATACCATTACAACAGAGTTTACGTATCTTTTTGTTAAGACTCTCTCTCTCTCTCTCTCTCTTCTGATCTCATTATAAGAGAGACTAATCTCTTGCAGTGTTTTTCAAACACTTTTGTCAATAATAAAACATTTTCTCTTCAGAACTCCTTTTATAATGATTTTTATTTCTAATTAAGAAATAAAAACATTTTAATCATAACTTAATTAAAAATTATAGACATTTCGCACACTTTATAATTAAAACTTTTAAAAAATAAATCAATTATAATAAACAAACAAATAAAGTATTTCTAAACAAAATCTTAATACAAATATATTTATCCAAACATTTAATACTTATTTATTGCCGACATTTGCGGAAACACTTGAGTCTCTCGACACAGAAATAAATAAAATTAATACAAATTATAATAACATTTGTCTCTATTATGTCTTAACGGGTAAGCAATTGGTGGCAATACTATAAGACATGCCTTT